CCGCAGGGAGGGCGTGGCCGCCGTCAAACACGCACAGCGCCCCGCCCCCCACAGCGACGGAGCGGCTCAGCCACGGAAGGGAGCCGGACCCCGAGGCCACGGCCACGACGGCGCTCAGGGATCCAGGGGGGCTCCACGTGTGGCCAGCGGGTGATTTCCTTCCTCCTGAGCAGGCTTCACAGCGCCACGGAGAGCCTACCACTCTTCCGGGAGGACAGGCCGGGCCCGCCAGCCTCCTGCAGGGCTTGGCCCAGCATGCCCGCGGCTCCCCAGCGTCCTTCCTATGCGGCCTGACTGCTGGCCCAGGTTAGGCTCCCCTCCACCGGGGGCAGAGCAGCCTCGGGGACAGGACTTCCTGCTGGAACCTCAGGGCGGCCGCAGCCAGGGCCCAACAGCGCAGAACTGACTGCGCCTACCTTCCGCGCCCCCCTGCCTGCCTGCCTGCCTGTGGAACGTGAGCACACAGCTGTCGCCCTGCCACGCACCCAGCAACGGGCAAGTCTTCATTCCTGGGCTCCACCATCTCGCCCGGGACAGCTCGCAGCAGGGGGCCGGCACCCCAGGAACTCCTGGTCAAGAAGGTGCCAGCAGCTGGCCCCACCCACGGCCATGGACCCCCCCACCCCCGAACACGTGTGACCCAAGGGAACACAGAACGGAGCAATGCGCTTAAAGATGGCTCTTCAACTGACCCAATTTTGTCTTTAAAATGCCTCGAAATGACAAAGACAGACACAATTGATCTTCATGCTGGCATTTCCTGACATTTGATGCGTCAAATGAACACAGGCTGAAACACAAAACCAAGGAGCGTTAACCCGTGGAAGGCCGCTCAGCGGGCAGTTAGTGCTGCCCACCCTGCCCCACGGCCGTTCCTACCATCCAGGAAAAGAGACCAGGCCGGGAGCTAACTATGCATCGGGGGCCCTAGGGCACCAAGGCCTAGACGCAGGGGGACTCGTCCGGGAGGGGATGGAGCCCCGAACGCAGATGAGACAGAAGCGCGTGAGCTGAGAGGAGGCGCGCGAACGTCCCGCCAGACGGCAGGGGCACCTCCGTTTCCACCAGGTGGCCAGACGCACTGGACAGCCGGGCCCCGGGGGACAGAGGGCGGGAAAACCTTCCGGAACCTTCCCGTTGCGTCCACTCCCTGGCTTGAGGGAAGGGGGAAGGGCTAAGGGGGGTGGGGGGGGAAAGGCGGGAGGGGCACCCCCTCAATCCTCCTCAGGCTCATCTGACCAGCACCCCACCCTGAACGGCACACGCAGCCCCAACCTCACCCACACAGTTCCCTTTCGGAGCAGGTGGGTACCCGGCCCGCGGATCCTCGGTTTCCTCCCGTCCCCCGCCAGGCCCCGTCCACCCCGGCCCGCCTGGCCCCCACGGGCTGAGGAGTCCTGATACAGAAGCACAGGCAGGGCCCGGGACGGGGGGCCGGTGGGGACATCAGAGCAGACAGACGCCCCCCACGGCGCCGCCCTTGCCCGTCCCCACTCGGGCCCCGCTGAGCAGCGGTCACAGGAGACGAGAAGGGCCCGGGCAAGCAGAGGCCCCATCGCTGGGACGCGGGGCGCGGGGACACAGCGGCCACCGCGCACGCACCAAGCCCCCGCGGGCCGACCGGGGTTTCTGGACCGGGCCCTGCCCTCGCTCACAGCCTCGGGCGGCTGCAGACACCACGCATGCACACGGAGCCGTTTCTGCCCACGAGGCGGGTCACTCATCAACAAACATGCAGCCACTGATGACCTTACCCGAAACGTTTACAGACCTCGGAGCTCCCGAGGGCCGCAGGGAGAAGGTCCGTGATTTCTGTGGAAGCTCCACGCTCTGTTCACTGCACGTTAATTACTCTCCCCACTGAAGAAAAGCAAGGTGAGCGTGTGGCCGCCTTGCGCGCCTAAGGGACGTGCCCTCCTCCACGTCGAGAACACGATGCCAGCTTCCATGTGGGAGAAGCTTCCGAGGTCACAGAGCATCTCTGCTCCCACACTGCCGGGTCACACACCCCAGAGATGGCCGGGCAGCAGGGACCACCCGCCTGGGTGCTCCGCCCCCACAGCCCCCCAACAGCAAGGCCAGGGCCACCCAGCCCTGCACGGGGGCTGCAGGCAGACCTCCAGCCCCGACCCCACGTCCTGGAAGGCCAAACTAAGCTGCCCAGGCTTCTGGATAAAACAGAATGACCTCCTGGGAGGCTTGATGTCAGCTGCTCCATAAGCTGTGCCTACGAGCCAGCCAAGGAGCGGGCAGCACCAGCCCACAGTCTGCCCGTGTCCCCGTGGGAGAGGAGGTGCCCTGACCGCCAAGGGTGACTTCGGCCACGTGTGCCTGGGGGGTGGGGGGGGCCTAGGCCACCCACCCGCCCCGGGCCCCGAGTCCCACCCTGAAACTCCCCACAGGGGCTGGGATGAGGTCAGCGTGCCAGGCACACCTCCAGGGGACACAAGACTCGACGTGGGGAGACTCCTCCCCTAAAAGACCTTACAGAATCTGGTCAGAGAAAGGCAGGCGGGGGGGAGAATCAGGCCCTCGGCGCAGGCTCGGACCTCCCTGGAGCTAGGGGGTGGGAGGCAGGATGCGGGTGGGGGGAGGAGGCGGTTCTGGACGCCCAGCATGCAGTCTGAGGGCGGTGTGCAGACGGAGGTGGGATGCGGTCCCCTGCACGACGGATGGCACAGCAAGCTCCGGGACCAGAGCTCAGGACAGGGGTGACCATCCACTCTGCAAGGGACCTCCGTCCGGCTAGGGCACCCAGCAGCCGTCATGGAGGTTCATGGAGCTGGACGCAACCAGACCGCTGGCCCAGGCCAACTTCACTGAGCTCCTGAGAACCGGATGCAGGAGCCACGCCCATGCCCCACCCCCCAGCGCCTGCACCGCTGGGCCTTCCTCCTCAAGATGTCCCTCGGGAAGCCACTGGTCCCGGAGATGACACAGCGGCAAGCCACAGATCTGCGCAGAGGGAGGCTCTTGGAGCCTTCTCCAGGTGTTTCTGCAGCTGGACACCCAGGCCGCCTCCCGTGGATGCAGAATCATTTTCCTGAAATGTCACAACTGCACACACGATTGCCCTGTGCCCACCAGGGCCCCAGAGGTGCTTTATTTAATTTGTTTTCTCTTCTCCTTGCCTTTCCCACTTAGTTCAATTCCCCACATCACACTGAGCGTTCACAGCCTGGCCCCCATCCATCCCCACGACAGCCAGGCCTGAGTCTAATGTGAGTTGGGGGGAGAGCGACTCTTGCCGCTCCTCAGAGTTGTGGCCGCACCAGCTGCCAGGCTGTGCCGGTCCCCTGGCCCCGGTGAACCCCAAGGTAGGTGAGCAGCGCCCTGAGAGGCTGCAAAGAGTTCCCACCAGCGGCCCGCGAGGCGCCCTCCAGTTATAACAGGCCAACAGGGGCAGACGCCGTCCTGCTGGGCACCTCCTCCCGCCCAGAGCAGCTCCTGGAGGCCTTGGGCCCCGACAGCACTGCCTCTGTTTGGGAAGCAGGTGGCAGAAACTGCGGGCAGAGGGGCAAGGCCTCTGTGTGAGGTCGCTCGGTGTGGTTCCAGGCCCCTGTCCCCAGCCAGACTCAGCCATTTCTCGGGCCCGTGAGGCTCAGCGGCTGCCCAGCGCTGGGGTCTCAAGTTGTCTCGAGGACAGGCCTTGAGCTCAGGCACTCTCAGGCGCTCTCACAGCCCCCTGCTCTTTCCTACCCGCCTCCCCCCACCAGGCGGGCCCCAGGGCAGCGGGGAGGGAGCAACATTTGCCTGGGGCCTCCCGGAACCGTTCCCCAGTCAGAGGCCCCAGCAAAACCGAGGCAGGAACCCCTGAGACAGCGTCAGCCAGGGACCCAGGCTCCTGCGTCACCTGTCGGCCAGGCAAGTGCCGGCTGGGCACAGGCATCGACACTGGCCGCCACCACCAGGGAAGCTGGCCCTTTTCCCTTCATGTGAATGATCCAGCCGGCCGGCAGTCTCTCCCATGCCGGCATGGATGATGGCCCCTGGGGAGCCTGGACCAGCGGCCTGCATCCACTCCCCACACTTGGGTCACCTGGGCCGGCGCCTGCCTCTCTCTACACCCCCACATGCCCGAGCGGAGTGGGAAAAGTGACCTCGTCCTGCTGACCACTTGGAGGCAGGGCGGGCTGGGCCCCGGGTTCTGCGGGCCGGGCAGAGGCCCTCCCTGCCCAGTGTCTCCCGGCGGCCGGGGTGGAAGGCCTGGGCAGTGGGGGCGGGGAGGGGGGGCTGGCTGGGTCTTCCCCACGGCCCCCAGAGGGACGAGCAGGGCCCGCGGGGTGTCTGACAAGCAGGGGGCTGAGGGGCACAGGTCTGCTGTCACCACGCTGCCACCCGCGACGGCGGGGCCTCCTTCCCTCCCTCAGCTGGAGAAAGAGGGGCTCAAGGAGGTGAAGGGGCCGGAGGGCGCAGGGCCTGACCATGGGGGTCTCCTCATCACACCCCAGATGGCCCAGCCCCTCCGGGGGTCAACGCCACACATGACCACACGGGCACTCTGTGGGGCGAGGACGGGCAGGCACTCGGCCCGCCTGGAGCCCCTGGGTCGAGGGAGCACAAAGCCTCTAATGAACGGGGACTGAGCCGCTGCGGAAATGTGGATCAGAGAGGCTAAGCAACCAGCCTGGGGCCACACAGCGCCGAAGTGCCGGGCAGCCAGGCTGTTTGATGACGTGCCCACCCCTTCCCTAACGCCCCACTCCCCGCAACCATCACAAGGCTCCCAGGGGCCCCCAGGCCCCTGGGGCACAGCAGCGCCCCAGGGGGTGTCTCTGGGGAGCCTGTGACAGCAAGCTTAGCAAGCTGGTGTGGGCACAGCCCAGGCCCCCCGTGACCTACGACCCCAGCGGCGGGGTCTCAGCCTGCAGGTCAGTGCTCACCACAGGCGGCATGTCTCAAACCTCCTCCGAAAACAACCCTGAGAACTAAAGCTAACTCCCCTCTCTCCCCCAGCAGGGGATCACACCTGGGGTCTTCCTGGAAAGGCATTTACTTACTTGAAAATCTCTTTCTTCCAGTATTTCTTTCCTCCATCTCACGAGAAAAGCAGCGCACACGTACAGGTGGAAATTGGCGAAGCCCTCGGGTTCCGACTGCAAGACAGAACAGCGGAGAAGGTCAGGGCCGGCGGGGAACACAACCAGCCAGCCGGCGCGCCAGTACGCAAGGCCTTCGCTCCTGACTCTCATCTCATTAAAACAAGACGGTTTTCTCTCTGATCGGCAGCCAGACACAGCGGACGTGCAGGGCAAGCAGGCCCCGTGACTTTCCTGCACGGATGACGGGCAGTGATGATAGAAGGCCAATCTGAGGGGCCCCCACTCCATGCAGCCCTGTGGGAGGGGGGCCCCCGCTTTCCCCACAGAGGCTGATGTCTTGGCCCCAGCCAGGAGGCAGGCAGTGGAGCAGGCACCCCGCCAGGGCACTGCCTGGCCACGACGCTGACGGCAAGTGTGGGTGGCAGGAAAGCTGCAGGCCCCTCCCGCGTGGTCACCCGGACCCCTCCTCAGCCGCTGCCTCAGTTCAGACAAACGCCACCAGCATTTGCAGCTAGGGTCCCCTGGGTGCCACCTGAACTGTGTGACAATTGTTTATGAAGTCAAAAAAATAAAATAAAATCTACATCACATAAGAGAAGGATGGGAAACACCAGGGGCACTCAGGGAGAGGCTGCCGCGTTAAATACAGCGCTCAGTCGCCTAACGTGACATTCAAACGGAGACCCAAAGAGGGCCATCCGTGCAGACATCAGGGTGGGGGAGGAAGGCAAGGGCCCCGAGGCTCGAGGCTGCCTGGCAGGTTCCAGACCCAGCGAGGAGGTCAGGATGGCTGTCCTGGGCCCCAGGCCGGCTCATCTCACTCCCCAAGGTCCTGGGCCGCATTCCCCAGTAGGAAACCAAGGCCCTCTTTCCGGCTGCTTCTGAGATACCCTGTTTGTCTTGGATGTTCTGCGTTTTCCTTGTGATATTTATTCTGCTTGAGCTATCCTGAGCGTGCGGAGCGTCCAGCAGTTTTGGAAAACCGTCACCCATGCGCCCATGCAGATGTCGTGAGCTCACTGTATTTTCCCAGAACCTTGGTGAGGTGGGTGTGAGGCCTTTTCCCACTTCACCCAACCTCTCTGTTTATAAGCTCCACCTCTCGTCTCTCCAGGAGATGCACTTTCTTCAACTCTGTCTTCCAGTTCACTAGTTGTCTCTTCAACTGGATCACAACTCCTGTCCGGCTCATCTGTTACATCTGAAACGTGCATGGCTTCTCACACCGGCTTTGTAAATTGTGAGTTTCCCTCTCCTCCTTCTTTCTCGCTCACTATGTCCCTTTTTCATCACTTCGAACACGTTGAACTTAATTTCCAGCACATCACAGGTGAACTCTGAACTCTGCGGTCTCTGCATCGCTCTTTCTGCAGCCTGTTCTCTCTGCTGAGTCTCACTTTTGGTAGCCTGCCTCCTCGGACTTTAGTGATTCCCCCGCTTGGAGCTTGTGTTTGATGAAATAAATCTATTGTTAAGGCAGGACAAAAAGTGTTTAACATAAAATTCTCTCTGTCTGGGTCACTAGTCCTTACTGGCGTGCGCTGTGCATTGACACATGAACCAGACCTCTCAGGAGACACAGCCGCCTGCTCCCCCTAACAGCAACTTTCTCCCGGCACCAGCAAGATGCCTCCTCAGGAGACAACAGGCCTTAACCCTGTAAGGGGTCAGGATGACCTACTACTTGCCACATGCGCAGACCTGGAGTAGGTGAACTGTCGATCTGTCATCTGATGTATAAATGCTTCTCTCAAGTATCTAATATATACCTGTGCGTTAGCTTCTATTGGGAGGAATAGTCCTCAGAGCTTTCTGAAAGACTGTCTCCCAGGTTATTATCCTCAGGTGGGCCTGAATAAAAGTCTCCACGTCTTTCTTAGCATGCATGGTAAGTTGCTTCGGTCATGTCTGACCTTGCAACCCCACAAACTATAGCCCACCAGGCTCCTCTGTCCATGGGATTCTCTGGGCAAAAATACTGGAGTGGGTTGCCATTTCCTCCTCCAGGGGATCTTCCTAACCCAGGGATCAAACCCTTATCTCTTACATCTCCTGCATTGGCAGGTGGGTTCTTTACCACGAGCACCACCTGGGAAGCCCCTTTTTTCTTAGATTGACTATTCACTCATTTTTTTGTTGACATGTTCTTTGGAACTTCTATCTGTTGGAAGTCTTTGAGATATGCATCAAGAATGGTTTTCTTTAGGGAAGAAAAAAAAAAATTCGTATTTGCTTCTGCCAGAAGCTAAAGGCCCTCGCTATTATCCCAAGACTGGTTTCAAATAAATCTTCAGCTTGAAATACTGTAGACAAGTAAGCGAAATGAACTGGGACTGCAAATCCATGCAAGAGCAGGGCTGCGCTCAGAGGCCCTGAAGGGAGGTGCTTTCCTTCCTTCTCCCATAACGGCCACCGCTGTGGCCGACGAAGGCGAGCGGCAGTGCCTGCTCAGCCCTGGACAGGCTCCAGGTAAATCTCCTGCCTGGGGCCCCCTGCCGCCGGGCAGAAGGCCTGGGAATCACCTGCCAGGAGCCCGGGGTGAGCGCCTCGCCACTGCTCCTTACCTCGCTCAATTTACATTTTCTCGAGACTTCTGGTCTATAGTCGCCTCTCCCCCTTAAAAATACACCAGCATCCTTTGGTGTATCCTGTGACGGAGGGGCCTGCTAACTTGGTTAATAGCCTTTACTTTGTCCTGGGAGTGCAGAGGTCAGCCTAAGGCCAGCCCCTGGACCCACCCTCACTCGGAGTTCAGGAGGTGGGCTGCAGATTCTGCGTCCTCTAAGACAGGGGTCCCCAGCTCCGGGCTGTGGGTCTGTACCTTCAGTCAATCAGTGGCGGCTCCAGGTTCAAGTGCGCAATAAACACCACGCGCTTGAATCATCCCAAAGCCACCCATCTGGTCCGTGGAAAAACCGCCTTCCATGGAATCAGTCCCCGGTGCCAACACGGCGGGGAACTGCCGCCACAAGGTTTCCCAAGCTGGAGAGCAGAGCAGAGCGTGAGCCACGCGTTCACGGGAACACAGCGTTCGGGGAAAACGGAGGTTTACAGCTTCACTTAAGTGGATTGTTTGTCTTCAATGACTTGGTAAATTACACTAAAATAGCAATTTAATAAATAAAAATTTCATATCCTAATGGAAAGTGGGCTTCTGCTTTAATGAAGCTTAACCTGAACAATAAATATCACCGTCAGCTGCCCAGAGCGGGGAGAGACTGGGAGGCAGCGGACGCTCACACGTCACAGGGCCCACAGCCGGGGTCCCCTCGGGACTGGGGTCTCCCTCATCTTCGGGATCCGGCACCTACAATCGGGGTCTTCCCGACTGGTGTGGAACCAGCCACACAGACCGGCCGTTTCACAACAAGCCCAGGGGGAGGCGGGAGCATGCAGCACTCTCCAGGGACCAAGGACGTGTCCCTGGGAAGTCCCAGGGCGGGGCTCCTGATGACCACAGTGGTCATCCCTGGCACCCCCCTGGAAGCACCCAGGGCGGGGCTCCTGAGGACCACAGCGGTCATCCCTGGCACCTCCCTGGAACCCCCCAGGGCGGGGCTCCTGATGACCACAGCAGTCATCCCTGGCACCCCCCTGGAAGCACCCAGGGCGGGGCTCCTGAGGACCACAGCGGTCAGCCACGGCGTGGGGGCCATTTCAGAGCCGGCTCTGCAGGGGGGCCTGGCCCAGACCAGGCCATCCAGCCGCCACGCACTCGGCCGGGCTGCACACCCTCCTCTCCTGCCTCCCCAGGCTTCAGGTGACTTGGGAGGAGAAGGAAGCCAGGGAACTGGCAAGGCTGCTCGGCAGGAGACGGGCCCCACGAGCAGGCCTCGTGTGTGGGGGCTTATGCTGGGACAGGAGGGGCACAGACACCAGCTTCTCATGTCCTCCTGCAGCCCTGGGGAGAGGCGGACGGGGCAGTGGGGAGTGCCCTGCACAGTCTCAGCCCCCAGTCCCTGTGATCCTGCCACTGATCGGCTGGAAACCTCCCCCTGTTGGAGATTCAGCTGAAACGGCCCCTCAAGGCATCCAGGGCCCCATCCCACCTGGCCAGCCTCCTCCCGAGGTGAGCCTCCCTGCCGGCCTGTCCCTGCGCTCACCACCTGCACCCACAGCCCCAGCCCTGGGTCCAGAACCAGCACTTGGGAAAAACCCCTGCGAGCCCGGGTGGCTTCAGAACCAGGTGAACCTGGTCTGGACAGGCTTGTCCGAGTCCGGCTCTCTTCCCGGAGCCCAACTCCATCAGCCCACAGGCGGGGCACCCGGCCGCGGCATGGAGGGGAAGGACGTCCGGTGGGACAAGGGCAGAGCCCACCAGTCCACAGGGAGCGCCCCCGACCCGCACACCGTCCTCCCTGCAGTGGAGGCCACGTTCCAGCCCCCTCAGGCCGCCAGGCAGTCTGCAGAGCAAACACTCTGACCCTTTAACAAGTGGGCCAGGGATAGTTTCTTCAAGATTCTGATGGTTCTGGTTAATACAACAAGAGAACATTCTGGCAAATCATGTTTCACATCATCTCAATGTCACCCTGTCTTACTCGCTAATTAAGAAAACAGGGCGCTCTAGGACCAGACAGGGTCACAGTGCCAGGGGCTCCCGTGAGCGCCATGAAATTCCTGGTTTGTTTTCCGCACTTTACCAAGCTCCCTTAGGCAGACCCTGCAAGGCTCACGCGTAGGGGAAGTGGCCGGGCTTCTGCTGCCCAGCACCAGGGTGGCGGGGGCTCAGAGCACATGCTGCTGGTAACATCGGGCCGACAGAATGGCCTCAAGGGAGGCCAGGGCTGCGGCTGGACGGCAACGTGCTGTCCATCACCTTTTTCAAAAACAAGCCTGGAAGCAGAGTCTCCTACCAAATGTTCACCCTCGGAATTCTGAGGCCAGGGAATTCTGGAGGTCAAGGAGAAAACACTGTTCCTATAACAAACACCATGTTTAAAAATCATAAACCTCACTAGCTGAGGAAAAGACAATTCACAGAAGATCCCGGATGCACTTGGAAATGACCACATCAAAGCCCCATTCCCATTCCAATCGGATCAGACATCCAA